CATGTCAAAACAATAAGCTTTAAGGATGGCTAACATACCTTGCCCTCAAGACCATAACAAAATATCAATGTAATGCTCAAAGTCAACAGTCACATGACCTGCATAATTCACAGTCACAGACATATTCTTTCGGGAGCCTGGGATCTATCAAGATAACAAAACAAACACATAGAAAAGCATAATCAGCAAACAGAGAGCAATTCTTATGCTCCTTTTTTAGTTATAAGAGATCAATTAGGTAATGTGTTTAAGTTTCAAATACTATTGAGACATAATAAAACCTTTATCTCATTTAGTAATACAAGATCCATTCATTCAAAAATAAATTGTCATTGGCTACTAGAGACCCTCTCCCTAATAAATATTAAGGTATGAAAAAATTACCTTCGCCAATAAAATCCATGTCATACTTCTTCTTAAACATCAGCACTTCGGGTGTAAATCCAAATGGGGTGTTTTTATTTGCTAAGTCACACAAAACTTTAGCTTGACAAGTATGAATAGAGTCATCATGGACATCCTTGGCATCAAGTGTAAGGTAATATTTTTCATAGCGAACTGAAACATCCTCATGGCAAAACTTAACGAGTTTAACAAATTCCAAATCTGCATTCTGTGAAAGGTAGGGGAAAGAACAACATGTTTGAATAATGAATAAACAAAACACCCTGACAATAGTGATAGATTATAGAAGAAAATTAAACCTCAGGTTTTTTGTTAAGATTATGATACTTGACAGCCTCAGTTGCAAGTCCATTACATTCCTTGAGCTGCTGAGGAGCCACTTGGTCCAGGTCATTGAAAGCAAAAAAATTAACGATATAATCCATATCAAAAGCATTAGGATTGGCATACACATCGAAGCCCTGGAGATACCCAAAAAAAAAAAAAAAAAATAATAATAATAAAATCTAAGTCAGGTAGAAAATAAATGCAGCGAACCCTAACATTTAACATTTAAGAAAGAGAGAAAGAAGCTCACATGGCTCTCTTTCTTCTCTCGGTAAAACTTCTCTAATTCGGCCTCGAACTTCTCCAACTCGGACTTTGTTCGTTCTGAAGTAGAAGAACTGTCGTCACCTTTCTTCAGTTTCTTGTCTCTGAAATTAACAATAAAAGGTTACATATTTAAACAACAGAGATGCTGAACCAAAGGGTATAATATAAGAGCTGCTGCTGGAAAACCCAAAATCAACCTTTGATTTTGAAGAATAAAAAATCATGAGACTAGATACGATACAAAAAGGAAGGAATCAGATCTTGACGCAAAGTTTCGAGATAACTTACTTCACTTCTGGATCGATGAAATCAGCTTCGCCGGTTGCACGCTTCCCCACCGATGTCGCCATCTGGGGTTGCTTCGATGATTTTGTTTGGTTTTTTTCTTTTTTCTTTTTTTTTTTTTAATTGTAATGGATCGGGTTCGGGAGGGATTGTTTTATTTATTTTATATTTTTTTGGTACATTTTATTTTATTCTGGTATTTGCGGTCCAGACTCCTTAATTGGAAAAACACACCATTTATTTTAAAGTGCTGCCTTCATGCCTTTCATTTTTCCGAGAATGCCTGATCTAATCTAATACTACTAGTTTATAGCCTCTATTACAACAAATTATATTATGTGTTTGTCTAATGAGTAATGTTAGGGAAAGAAAAATTTCAAATAAAAATTTAAGATTAATAAGGAATGATTTATTTTTTTTATAAGTTTTAATAAAATAAAAAAATTAATTATTTTAAGTTATTTTTTTTTTAAACAAATTTGTAAGGAACCAAATTCGAACTGTTATCCAGAAAAATGGGAAATGCACTTAACTCAAGTGCATTATTTTAAGTTACTTAATTAATCTTATATTTAAAAAATAAATTTTACTTCATTTATCGTTATTCTTCTCTAATATAGTGATTTAAGATGCAAAAAATATACTACAGTATTATTTAACAATTAATTTATATAAAAAGTAAAGGTAATTACTAATAGTATTGTTTTTTGTCCAGCTAATTACTACTATTGTTGGTGGATAATTGTAATTACTCAATCAAATAAATTAATATTTATAT